TCCTATCAGCCCCACCCTGAATGGCCAACAGTTGTAGTCCAACAACATATCGAGGGCTACAGGTTCCTCATTTATGAATTTATAAATTTATAAATCATTCCTGATTTAGCACCTGGGGTGTGCTAGAGACTCAACGCCTTCCCCAGGGGGCTTATCCTCAACAGGATAGGTAGGGGAAAGGTAAATTGAAAGCTGCACTGGACGGGGCTGATGGGAGTTGAGCTGTTTTGCCAAACACCTGGAGGGCACCAGGTTGGCAAAGGCTGCTCTAGAGAGAAGGGAATGGGAACTACATGCTAGAGCTGCTTGCTTGCAAGTCTGTTTTCATTTCGCCAGGCTAATCTCCAATCCCCCTGAAAGATTTTGAAAGCAAAGCTGGCTGCTGAACTTCCCTGATTATTTTCAGCCTCCAAGGAACAGAAGAACCGCCGGCATCAAGGCAATTTCCTCCTCGCACAGCATCTTTCCTCACAATGCTCCTGATTAGTTTTACTGAACTGCCTCTTGTCTGGTTCTTGCGCTTTGGTGGGGGAAGTATTTTTGATTGCTTGGTGTTCCCAAATTCACAGGTGACCTTAACGGGGGAAATTCAATTTCATCAGGTAGCAGACAACCTGACAGTGTAATTGTCTCTATCAGGGAATGACAACTTTAAAATTTTGAGAGTCCATTCTGTTCCCTATGCTTCCATTTCTTACAAATCTGCGAGAGGCCATGTAGCATAGTGGTTACAAACCCAAACTAGGACTGGGAAGAACTAGATTCAAATCCACTTGCTTGTTTGGAACACTATCTCTCAACCTCACAAGGTTGTTGGGTGGGAGGGGGAACAGACAATATTGAGCTAATTGGGGGAAAGGTGGGACATAAATAAGAATGAGGCTGGGGAACAAATCTGATTCATTTTGCATTTTAAAACAAATTATAACATTTGCACTTTCCAGGAAAAACATGAGAATCAAAGCACAGCCATCCTTCAAAATTCACACTTATCCAATTTTTGTGATGCAGGTCTCCAAATACATAGCATTTTCCAAAATGCATATATTTGTGGAAATTGTACATGACAACATAATAATCAAAATAACATACAAAAATGCATTAAGTTAGGGGAAACTGCTTGCCAAAATCGTACATTTGTTACTTCCGAGACAGACAGATGCCAGCAAGTTCAAATGCCAAGCTGCATACAAAAATGTGCTTATTAGGAGAAATTTGCACTAAAACGCCGATTAATTTTCACCAGGATTTAAAATTCACATCTTTCTGTAGCAATGTGGAGAAGTGAATTTAAAATTGGAAAATGAGAAACTAAGAAAACCAAAAGTGAAAGATCCTTTAATCCCTAAATAAGAATGAACTATGATAAAACTCTTTTATGTCTCCCTACATTCTCGCTCCTTCTTTTAACTTGAAGCAGATGTAGCATCCTTGTGATCATCTTTGCTGCTGTGAAAATAGGCTCTGATCAAGCATTGACCCACTATATTTAGGTTTTTTCAGAACCCTGCTGTTTTCTGTTCTGAAGTTTTCCTCCTTTCACCTCCACCTGCTTCCAAGGTGTAATAAATTCTTCATGCCACAGCTCAAGCTGCTAAAGCAAAATGCAGTTATGTTTTTAACTGTCAGCAGGTGACAGTCTTGCTTTATTAGCCTCTGCTGTTAATGCTTTCTTGGTCGGCATCAATTTTTCAGCCCGTGACCTAGAAATATAAAAAAGATGAGGAAGAAATCTCACCTGCCAAAATCTGGCATTTGGGGCTGCTATTAAAGGCACACGAGTCATTAAAAATTAGTTGATTTTGGGAGCTGTCAAAGCCTTTGCCATCTACGGCTGGCCATTTTTATGCCTGGTTTTGCAGGATACGTACAGTACTTGGATTTTTTTATGATTGTAGTTTTGTGCGCTATCGATAATAGTCAGTAGGTGGCAGTGATGGGGTCTCTGCTATGGCTTTGCAACATCATTAAATTGCAAGAAAAAGGTGGTGGTGGGGAACCAAGTCATCTTTATTCTAACAAACTCTGCTTGGACTGGATGTTTGCCTAACGTCAATGGACTGGGAGTTCCAGTGGTCTGAACTGCAAGTTTGCCTTTTGTTGTTGTTGTTCTTTAGTCGTTCAGTCGTGTCCGACTCTTCGTGACCACATGGACCAGAGGCCTGTCTTCCACTGCCTCCTGCAGTTTGGTCAAACTCATGCTGGTAGCTTCGAGAACACTGTCCCACCATCTCGTCCTCTGTCGTCCCCTTCTCCTTGTGCCCTCCATCTTTCCCAACATCAGGGTCTTTTCCAGGGAGTCTTCTCTTCTCATGAGGTGGCCAAAGTCTTGGAGCCTCAGCTTCAGGATCTGTCCTTCCAGTGACCACTCAGGGCTGATTTCCTTCAGAATGGAGAGGTTTGATCTTCTTGCAGTCCATGGGACTCTCCAGAGTCTCCTCCAGCACCAGAATTCAAAAGCATCCATTCTTCGGCGATCAGCCTTCTTTAGGGTCCATCTCTCACATCCATACATCACTACTGGGAAAACCAGAGCTTGAACTATATGGACCTTTGTTGGCAAGGTGATGTCTCTGCTTTTTAAGATGCTGTCTAGGTTTGCCTTTAGTATTCATGTAGGTAGATTATCTGAATGCAGCTACTTTCTCTCTTCACTTTGATAATGGGTGAACTGGTTGGAGGGAAGGAGAAGTGTGTGATCGTGAGTTAGTGAGAGGAACTGGAGGAGCCTGCAATGATTTGCATGCTATTTGGAAGTTTCCTAGGGAACTCAGTGGGACTTACATCTGAGTAGGCATGCTAGGGGGTTGGCCTGAAAGTCTCCTTTGGTGGGATTAAAATGGTGGGGTTATTAAAATATATATATATGGTTCTCGTTGGTTCCTCTGCCTTGAAAAGCCAAAAGGAAGACACACAAAAAGGTCAAGCATCATTTCCAGCCTTTCTCAATAAAGACACAGGAGCAGTTTAGGAAAGAATATGTGGCAACCCAGTTTGGATTATAGAAACGTGAACAGGGGTCTGTAACATGGATCAGAGGCCCTAAACTACTGAAGATGAGGCCCTTTAGGTGTCCAGCTGTCCTTTGTCAACAACAAATTGTCGCTTTTTTGTGTGTTGAATATACAATGGTGCCTCGCAAGACGAAAAGAATCCGTTCCGCGATTCTCTTCGTCTAGCGGTTTTTTCGTCTTCCGAAGCAACCCTATTAGCGCCTTAGCGCTATTAGCGGCTTAGCGGCTATTAAAGGCTTAGCGGCTTAGCTGCTAAAAGGCTATTAGCAGCTTAGCGGCTTAGAAAAAGGGGGGGAAGCGGGGGGGAAATCGCAAGACTAGCAAGACGTTTCGTCTTGCGAAGCAAGCCCATAGGGAAAATCGTCCTGCGAAGCAACTCAAAAACGGAAAACCCTTTCTTCTTGCGAGTTTTCCGTCTTGCGAGGCATTCGTCTTGCGGGGCACCACTGTATGCTAAATGGTAATTTATGGACCTAATAGGGGTATCAAGCCATTTGCACATAACAAAATATGTATTTTATCAAAATAATTGTTGAACTGAAATACAATTAAGAAGTATTTAATAGTGAAATACAATTAAGAAGTATATTAATAGTGAAATAATTATTAAGCTCTAACTTAAAATGATTTTTTATTCATAACAAACTTAATAATGCACACACATTGGCATTTGGCAATAACAGAAGTTCCTTTAGAAACACAATTTACAAAGACACATAATCTAGTCTCTAGAAACTTGCTGTAACAAGAAAACACTGCTTCTGTATGTAGGTTTTTTAAAAAATATATCTTTATTAATTTAAAATTAATACATTTATGAGAAAACAGACAAGCATACAAGTAAAACAAACATACAATCAAACAAACAAACAAACAAATAACAGAAAAATCAAACAAACCACCACACTATAAGATACAAGAAGATTAATATAATCATCATCATATATACTCCTGATACTGAACACAACTATAAAACTTATAGAGAAGAAATTTAAAACTGACTTCCAATTAATCACACTGTACTTTATCTATCCATTACTTTATACCGCAGTTACATATTTCTTATATAGTTTCTTTTTACCTCCCTATGAACTTCTATTTATACAATACAGGGATCAGTCTAATTCTGTCAAGATGTTTCCTTTTATTCTGTAGTTTTCTAAATATTCTTGAAAGATTCCCCAATCCTTATATATGGCCTCTGCTGTATGTAGGTTTTATTTGTTTTTTATCTTATATTTTAGAAATGTACATCCAGTTGTTTTCCCTTTAAGTTTTTTTTGCCCCCCCCCCCCAAGAGAGACAAAACGGGACACGGGTGGCGCTGTGGGTAAAAGCCTCAGTGCCTAGGGCTTGCCGATCGAAAGGTCGGCGGTTCGAATCCCCGCGGCGGGGTGAGCTCCTGTTGCTCGGTCCCAGCGCCTGCCAACCTAGCAGTTCGAAAGCACCCCCGGGAGCAAGTAGATAAATAGGGACCGCTTACTAGCGGGAAGGTAAACGGCGTTTCCGTGTGCAGCTCTGGCTCGCCAGAGCAGCGATGTCACGCTGGCCACGTGACCTGGAAGTGTCTCCAGACAGTGCTGGCCCCCGGCCTCTTGAGTGAGATGGGTGCACAACCCTAGAGTTTGTCAAGACTGGCCTGTATGGGCAGGGGTACCTTTACCTTTAAGAGAGACAAACCTCGACAGCATCTTAAAAAGTAGAAACATCACCTTGCCAACAAATGTCCGTATAGTTAAAGCCATGGTTTTCCCAATAGTGATGTATGGAAGTGAGAGCTGGACCATAAAGAAGGCTGATCGCCGAAGAATTGATGTTTCTGAATTCTGGTGCTGGAGGAGACTCTGGAGAGTCCCATGGACTGCAAGAAGATGAAGCTACCAGCATAAGTTTGACCAAACTGCGGGAGGCAGTGGAAGACAGGAGGGCCTGGCGTGCTCTGGTCCAGGGGGTCACGAAGAGGCGGACACGACTAAACGACTAAACAACAAGCGAGTGGGGCCCTAAGCTATTGCTTGTTTACTTATACGTAAATCAGGCACTGACATGGGCCAGATCGCTGAGCAAGGAAGGGATCCGCCCGCAGAAAGGGCTGCTTGGCGGGGGGAAGCAGTTGCAACGAGAGAAGGCTTAGACTCGGCGCCCAGCCGATGCAGCGAGCGGAACGTTTCTACGCGCCTCCGGAGCGTGGGGGAGGCAGGTCCGTCGCCGGACCGGTCCCCCATTGCACTTCCGGTTAGACTAGGCCTCGGTCGCGGCCCGGGTCCTCTCGTCGTTGTCGTCTGGTACCGAAACCGGGATGCGGCTGCTGCGGGGCGGGCTTCGTTTTCTGCTGAGGCCGGGGATCCGCCGCGGACCCGACCGGCCGGCCTACCAGCAGGGCCAGAGCCCCACGCCCCGCACCCGGGAGTACTTCTATTATATCGACCACCAGGGACAGGTATGGGGGGCGGGGGGGGGGGCAGGGAGAGGAAGGTCATGGGGCTGCCCCTAGAAGGGTGCTGTGGCTGATCACGGCCCAGCAAGCCTGACAGGACGGCCGGGGCCCGTTATTTCGTATACATGTAAGAGGATGGCAATAGAGGGGTATAATAATAATAATAATAATAATAATAATAATAATAATAATAATAATAATAATAAATAAAGTAATAATAATTAATGATTAAGGTATACCGGGCCAAGGCCGTTTAGGCCTTTAAAGGTCAACACCAACACTTTGAATTGTATAGGAAGAGAGGTCTCCCTGGAATCGCTGTACGTATGTATGTATTTGTGTATTTGTGTACAGTGGTACCTCGGGTTACATACGCTTCAGGTTACATACGCTTCAGGTTACAGACTCCGCTAACCCAGAAATAGTGCTTCAGGTTAAGAACTTTGCTTCAGGATGAGAACAGACATCCGGCGGCGCAGCAGCAGCAGGAGGCCCCATTAGCTAAAGTGGTGCTTCAGGTTAAGAACAGTTTCAGGTTAGGTACGGACCTCCGGAACGAATTAAGTACTTAACCCAAGGTACCACTGTATTTATTTATTTATTTATTTGATTGCACTTATTTAATAATAACGAAGATTCGGACACGACTAAATGACTAAACAACAACAACATTTTATTATTATTATTATTATTTATCACAGTGGTACCTCTGGACGCGAATGGGATCCGTTCTGGAGCCCTGTTCGCATCCTGAGCAGGACGCAACCCACATCTGCGCATGCGCATGACGTCATTTTGAGCCTCTGCACAGGTGCGAGCGGCGAAACCCAGAAGTAACCCGTTCCGTTACTTCCGGGTCACCGCAGAATGCAACCTGAAAACGCTCAACCTGAAGCATATTTAACCCAAGGTATGACTGTATTTCTACCCTACCCATCTGGCTGGGTTTCCCCAGCCACTCTGGGCGGCTTCCAACAAAAGATTAAAAATACATTAAAACATCAGTCATTAAAAGCTTCCCTAAACAGGGCTGCCTTCAGATGTCTTCTAAATGTCAGGTAGTTGTTTATCTCTTTGACATCTGGTGGGAGGGCGTTCCACAGGGCTGGCGCCACTACCGAGAAGGCCCTCTGCCTGGTTCCCTGTAACTTGGTGTCTCGCAGTGAGGAAACCGCCAGAAGGCCCTCGGCGCTGGACCTCAGTGTCCAGGTAGAATGATGGGGATGGAGACGCTCCTCCAGGTATACTGCGCCAAGGCTATTTAGGGCTTTAAAGGTCAACACCAACACTCCTGACTCTGATGAGAGTTGGAGTCCAAAACATTTGGAGAGCCTCAGGATGGCGAAGACTGCCTTGAAGCTTGCAAACTAGGGCTTTGTAGTGTTTTGTGCCTCGTTGGCCAGATGTCTCCTGGTCTCCTGCCCAGCCGTCCTTATGGACACCCCAAAGTCCACCTCCTCATGCTCAGGCTGACTTCCTGTATATATGCTTGCAGAAGAGGCAGAGAACATCCAGAGTTTCAGGGCTGGCCCTGTAACCTTCTTCCTATGATGCTGGGGAGCGCGCAGGGATGGAGGAAGGCAGCCATTTGTGGCTGAATGGTGTGAAAAAAGGCTCTTTAAAATGTTTGCCTTGGTGAGGAGAGGGCATTTGGACTCTGCTTCTGATACCAAAATGGCTTGGGCTGGCAATGCTAGGCTTTTCCTGTTCTCGTGGGTAAGTAGTTTAATCACATGGTCTATTCTTCTCCAAGCTCTAATATTAATTTATGCTTCCTTGTTGCTTTAGCTCCTAAGGACCCAATGTAGCCAATCCCTTCCATGGTGAGGGGTAGGGCTGGGCGATATATTGATATATCATCCAAAACTGGTTTGAAGTCCATATTGTGATAGCACTTTCAAAACATTTGACCTGTCAATATGTCGCAAATCATGATGCGCGTGTGTGCCAAGCAAAAATCACAATGCAGGAAAAACCGCAAAGCCAGCCTCTGCCTGTACATAGCTCCATCCTTATTTCAGACCTTGTGACGTTTCTGAGCCCAATTCATAGTGTTGGTGCTGATCTTTAAGGCCCTAAACGGCCTCAGTCCAGTATACCTGAAGCAGCGTCTCCACCCCCATCGTTCAGCCCAGACACTGAGGTCCAGCTCTGAGGGCCTTCTGGCGGTTCCCTCCCTGCGAGAAGTCAAGTTACAGGGAACCAGGCAGAGGGCCTTCTTGGTGGTGGCACCTGCCCTGTGGAACACCCACAAGATGGGCAAGGAAATAAACAACTACCAGACTTTTAGAAGACATCTGAAGGCATCCCTGTTTAGGGAAGCTTTTAATGTTTGATGCATTACTGTATTTTAATATTTTGTTGGAAGCCGCCCAAAGTGGCTGGGGAAGCCCAGCCAGATGGGCGGGGTATAAATAAATTATTATTATTATTATTATTATTATTATTATTATTATTATTATTATTCAGTATATCATCACGCTTAGCTGATGGAATTATCACAGTGTTGCAAACCAGATATCGCCCAGCCCTACTGTTCACATCTGCACAGCTCCATCCTTATTTCAGGGATCGTGATGTATCTTTATGTTTGGCTGCTGAAATACCACAATTTTGAAAGCCAGATATCGCCCAGCTGTAGTGCGGGGCTCTCCTTTTCACGGCAGCCCAATGTTAACAGCCACCTCTAGCGCAGATCTCTGCTGGTTGAGTGGCAGATGCATGGTGTGCCTGGAAAGTGCCGCTTGGCATTGCGCCAAGCCTTGGGGCTGTTTGGGCCTCTTTTTAATCCATTAGCGTTAACTGCCGATTCACGTAGTCGCCTCCACTGCATTAATGGTGTATCGAATTAGTGCTGAATGAATCATTATGGGGGAGATTAGGAGTTGTAATTAGTGTTAAAAGAGGAGTTCGTGGCCGCCCTGGTGCTCTGGACTGATCTGGAAATTAGCAGTCCTCAAGAATGTGGGAGCTCTGAGTTGCAAACAGCTCCATTGTTGGCATTCGCCAGTCAGTGAATAGCCCTTTAGGAAGCTGGTTGACCCTTGCCCTTTGCTCAGTGTCTGTCTATCCAGAGCCCAATATTACTGTGCTTTAGATAATATGGTGGAAGCCAAGTTAAGGGGCAGGGGTGGTGTTGGCTGAACTATTTTGAAGCCCTTTGTTTCTTTGAGGCATCCAGTGACCCAGTTCTCTCATAATGCTAAGCCATGGTTTGTCTTAATTGGGGTTTGTTGAGCTGTTTATCAGCTCCATCTGGTACACAGGATGAGACCCTATCCTGCCCTATCCTGTCTCACCAGAGTGGTGCATGCTCTAGTTATCTCCCGCTTGGACTACTGCAATGCTCTCTATGTGGGGCTACCTTTGAAGGTGACCCGGATACTACAACTAATCCAGAATGCAGCAGCTAGACTGGGGACTGGGAGCGGCCGCTGAGTCCACGTAACACCGGTCCTGAAAGACCTACATTGGCTCCCAGAACGTTTCCAAGCACAATTCAAACTGTTGGTGCTGACCTTGAAAGTGCTAAACGGCCTCGGTCCAGTATACCTGAAGGTGCGTCTCCACCCCCATCGTTCAGCCCGGACACTGAGGTCCAGCGCTAAGGGCCTTCTGGTGGTTCCCTCACTGCGAGAAGCCAAGTTACAGGGAACCAGGCAGAGGGCCTTCTTGGTAGTGGTACCCGCCCTGTGGAACGCCCTCCCACCAGATATCAAAGAGAAAAATAACTACCAAACTTTTAGAAGACATCTGAAGGCAGCCCTGTTCAGGGAAGCTTTTAATGTTTAATAGGTTATTGTATTTTAGTGTTCTGTTGGAAGCCACCCAGAGTGGCTGGGGAAACCCAGCCAGATGAGCGGGGTATAAATTATAATTATTATTAAATTACAAGTTGACAATGAAGCAGAGGGAGAAGAGAAAGGTGGTGCTGGGCAAACCGTGAGCTGTGTGGGCCTGGGTCTCTTGAAGGTACCGGTGTGTGGCTCGTAACTAGTGCTATTTTCCTAGAAAAAGAGGTGCCAGATCTCGCCATGAACACCTCCCTGGTTCTCTTATACAGTGGTACCTTGGTTGTTGAACTTAATCCATTCCGTCTGACTCCCAGAACTGTTCGGATACCAAAGCACAGTGTGCTGGTCCTGGGGGCTAACACTGAGGCGAGGTCCGAGTCCGGGCCGAGGTCGAGGGTGCAGTATGCAGTCCATCAAAGCTGAAGCTGGGTCCAAGGCAGGGAGTCGGGTGAGGTCAGGAGCTCTGGCAGAAGAGCAGGACAGAGTGCCGGCAGGAACAGGTTACCAACAATGTTGCTCCCACAACCTGGGACTGGGCTGGCTGGCTTTTATCTGCCCCGAGGCATAGGGCGGCCCCGATCCTCAGATGACTCGCCTCTCCTGGCCTGGAGGCGAGCACTCCACCTGCGGGAACTTAGTTCCCTCTGCCTCTCTGCCCTGAGCCTCTGCAGCTCAGGAGAGGCTGGAGGGTTACCGGACCCAGAGGCAACCACCTCTTCCCCTGATGGTGCTGAGAGTGGAGCACCTGCAGGCAGTGGGTCCTCCATCACCTCAGGAGCCAGAGTAGACTCAGCTGGTACCTGCACCTGAGGATCCAGCACAGGTGAGGACCCTTCAGGCTCAAGTCCCAGCCCCGGCTCAGCTGGTTCTGGAGGCGGGGAATCCTGTGCAGGCTGGGATTCCTCAGGTTCAGCCTCTGAATCCGATTCCCAGGCCATCACACACAGCTTCCGGTTGGCTGCAGGAGCTTCCCGCACTCAATCGAAAGCTGCGTTGGACGTCCGGCTTCCAAAAAACATTCGCTAACCAGAACACTTACTTCCAGGCTTGCGGCGTTCGGGAGCTGATTTGTTCATGAGCCAAGCCGTTCAACAAGCAAGGTAGCACTGTCATGGCGTTGACACCCATTTGAGAGGTGCTGGAACTGAGTTCCAGCAAGTTCCGGCAGGAAAACCCCCCTGCTCATAACAATCCCATCCCAAATGTGTT